CGCCGGGTAACTGGTATCGGTGCATCCCGGGAAGATAAGGTGGCGCGGAATGATGGGGTCGTTTTCCGCCGCCTCATTTGCATGGCACAGGTCGGGGACCATGCCAATGTCAGCCCTGGGGAACCTCCAGCGCTCCCGGCGTGCGCCAAAGGTTAGCACCTGGAAGAGCGGTTTAACATCTTGAACAGAGCCCACGACCTGAACTAGCCGCTTGATGTATTCTGGTTTTGTTGCCCGGTAGGCAGTAAGCAGCTGGCCCTGTTGACAATTGAAACATAAGAAAATTAAAATGTGCGCTGTAACAAGGGGCTGATTAACCCCTCGCACTTCTGTAGTTAGGCTGTACCGCACGCACGAGTGCGGGCGGGTTGCCTACTCGCCCGGCCCGTAAGGCGCCGTGGACAGGGGCGATAGGCAAGCCAACCCGCGCTCCTGCGTGCGGTACAGCCTAAGTACAGAAGTGCGCTGGGTTAATCAGCCACCTGGTACATTGGGGCAGTAAGCACTTAAAAGGACTGACTTCAAACACATGTTGTACATACCCCAGATGATGCCAGCCAGTGAGCCTCCACGTCCTCGTTCGCGGGTTCCCATGAGTGGAGGAGGCGTGTCATCGCCAGCACTAATCGCTCGCGCCCCTCACAAGGGAAGGTTTTTAGGTGTTACACACCAATTTCGCTGGGCGCGATACATATTGCAGGGGACATATGTAGATTAAGATTGGCACCGGTTTTAGCTGCCCATACTATGTTTTTCATTTGTTTTGGACAATTTCTAGTAGGAAAACATCAGAAAACCAGCAAAAATGTGATCTTCAAATGCCTATATCTCCGGAACCGTTTGAGCTACACCGTCCAGATTTTGCACAGAGGTAGTCCGCATAGATACCTTGATCGTCTAAAAATATGAGAAGAATCGAAAAAAATTGTTGAAATGGTCCGAAATCCAAGTCGAAATCCAAGTAAGGAAGGTGCACATAGTTTGTGACATTTTCTTCGATGTTTTTCGAAAAAAATTAAACTTCACGATAATTTAGCTACTAATTCGGCCTCCCTCTGTGCAAAATCTGGGCGGTGTAGCTCAAACGGTTCCGGAGATATAGGCATTTGAAGATCACATTTTTGCTGCTTTTATTATGTTTTCTTACTAAAAATTGTCCAAAACAAACGAAAAACATAGTATGGGCAGCTAAAACCGGTGCCAATATTAATCTACATATGTCCCCTGAAATATGTATCGCGCCCAGCGAAATTGGTGTGTAACACCTAAAAACCTTCCCTTGTCAGCCGCGTCCTCTGCGCAGTCAGAACAAGGTTGTGATTGTGGGCGACAAAGAGCACAGGCGGCGGGAGATGTGGTGTGGGAGGGCAAGTACTCACCTACTGCATGTACAATGCGTGCTGCTAAAGTGCCCACAGCACGGGGCCTGAACTCTGAACTGGATAGCACCTCCACACCGAGGCAGTCAAAGTTGACTCTGCGCACTTCGAATCCACAGTCCCAGTACAGAGTCGCCGAGTCGATGGCCACCCCTGGCACGAGCGCACACATCGTCCAGATTGGCTCGACAACAAAGAAGAGGGCCTCCATGCTTGGTACTCGATGCCCAACTGAAGCCGAAGGACACTAGCGGCAGCCAGTCCATGCGGAGCGGCAAACCCGCGGGTTTACCCCGGCCTGCGCCCCGCGGCGAAGGCCGGGGCTCGCCATATCCGCGGGTTCCCCAGGGTGAATGCCCGCCGCGGAAAACCTGAAATTAGGAAAATAACATCGTCAGAGAGGGGCAGCGAGGAAGTGTGTGTACAAGTGCGCGTGACTGGTTGAAGCGGTTGCACTCA